GCAGACTAAACTGAGTCACCTATCCCAGTGTACCAGTTAAGTGATAGAAGACAGAGAGATTCAGTCATTGTGGCCACTTGGGAAAGAGGAGCAGACAGAGGAGTCCAGTGACCTCCAAAATCAGTACTGATAACAACTTTAGGTTTAAGTAGAGGAGAAGTTGGAGTGAGAGCAAGAAGTACACGTAATAAGGCCTCCTTGGTCTAAGTGTGGTCTGGTTGGTACCTCAGTTCTTGTTATTGCCTGAGGGAAAAAGCCAGTTCCCATGAGGTGACTAGTCTTGCTTGAGGGTGATCTCATGATGGGGTGACCTGTCAGTGAGGCTCCAATGGACTGCAAATTTCGGGCCGTGGGTCTGGAAGGGATACTGAGATGGCTTACAGTAAAGCATCTCAGTTCTCATCCTTAGCTTTCTTTGTACCATCATTTTAGCTTTGAAGGGAGAGAAAATAAACTGAGTAGAGCCATGTCTAACATGCCTTTGAGCAGAGTTAAGCTTGCGACTCATCCACAGGAAGTGAGGTAGATGCTCAATTCGAGCTTTTGTCCTGCTTTGAGCCTCCTTGTGCTGCTGAGGAGTCCTTGACCTTCAACGAGAAGATCCTCTAGCTGTTTTAGAACAGCTGCATGGTTCCGAGTTGCGTGATGTAACTGTCACAGCAGTTGTGAGCAGTCTCTGGAAGTGATGACAATACCGCATTTGACTGGAGGTGGAGGCTGGGTTTTCATTCCTACAGCATGCCACTTTGTTCACTTTTCGTTTATATAAGAACCTAATCTCCTGAAATTATACCATATGTGGTTTGACGTGAAGGCAAAAACATTTTCCCCCGAAAGTATAGTAATTGATTAGGAACAAACTGTAATGAAGTTGTGTGCTTTCCCTCTGAAAGTTTGACAGTTTTAGTCTCAATAGATTACTAGAAGAAAAGGCATACAAATTTGATAATACCTCCAGAGCCATGTACAAAGTAGGGGAATCTGCCAGAGTGTTGAAATTTGTTTTTCATTATATAAAGGAATAAGAGACAGGAGGCTTCTGGAGGTGTGGCAAGTTCAGGAGAGGACCTCCTTGGCCATGAATGGCAGCCTTATTATCCAGACAAGATTTTTCAGGTAACAACACATGGACACATGTGTCATCTCTGTCTAGGCTGGAGGATTCAGACCCTCAGTCTCTGCCTCCTGCTAAAGGCAGATCTGGAGATCTCAAAGAATGCTTTTGTGTTTGCATCTTTTGCTTAATTAGCTAATGTAGATAGATGCTTCTTTTTATACACGGAGGGATTTTTTTTAATATTTATTTATTATGTATACAATATTCTGTCTGTGTGTATGCCTGTGGGCCAGAAGAGGGTTCCAGACCTCATTACAGATGGTTGTGAGCCACCATGTGGTTGCTGGGAATTGAACTCAGGACCTTTGGAAGAGCAGGCAATGCTCTTAACTGCTGAGCCATCTCTCCAGCCCACACGGAGGGATTTTTAAAGCCCTTACTGAGTGCAGTTTTCTGAACAGCCAGATCCAAAGATATCAAAGGAATATATTTAAGGTGGAACATAACATAAGCTTGTTATGCAGATAAAAGAATTTCCTGTGCTTGAAGGGAACTATCAGGGGACAGCCACTGAAGAGAAGGCTGGATCTTTGTGCACGTAGCTGCAGCTTGTGCTACAAGAAGAAATTAGACGTCACTCTCCACTGTGGACAGTCCTCTTTCTGTTTCTGGTGACTTTTCTTTATTATAGTTATGTATGGCTATTTCCATCCAAATCTGCCCTAAATGCTGCTAATTGCTTTGAAGCATAATGCAGCCTGCCTATTGACCTACATTACTTATAGCAGTCTCAAAAGTAGAGTGTTATGGGGATAATAACCAGAGTCAAATCCCTTACAGTGAGATCCATAGGCCTATATTATTATTATTGACCTACATTATTTATAGCAGTCTCAGAGTAGAGTGTTATGGGGATAATAACCAGAGCCAAATCCGTTACAGTGAGATCCACGGGCATTTCATTTTTGATAAATTAATGGTTTAAAATCATAAAACCAAGATTGGTTTTGAAATTTAGCAGCACAAAGCTAATTTGCATATCTTGTCATCCAGACAGTTTTTCTGTGGCATGATTTCTAATGGGTCTTAATAGTCAGATATTAGTGAGTAAAAGCTGAAAGATCAGAGAAGCAGATCAGCCAGCCACTAGTCCTTACCTCTACAAATCCTCAGACCAAATGGGGTATCCTGTCTCAACAAGTCCTCAGGCTGAATGCTTTGAACTCCTGTCTCCTCCCACCTTATATTGCTCTCTCCACCCAACCATATCATTCCTGTCTCCACCTCCTTAGTACTGGGATTAAAGACGTGTGCTCCCAAGTGCTGGGGTCAAAGGCTCTGTTTCTCTTTTAGACTGATTCAATCTCATGTAGCCCAGGGTGGCTTTGAACTCAAGAGATCCACTCTGTCTCCTGAGTGCTGGAATTAAGGTGTGTGCCACTACTGCCTGGCCTCTATGGCTAACTAGTGTGACTAGCTCCACACTCTTATCTTCAGGCAAGCTTTATTTGTTAAAGCACAAACAAAATATTACCACATTTCTCTTTTTTGTAAATAAAAAATTATAAAAAATAAAATAAGGCTATAACTAATGTAAGAAAACGATATATAATAAGTACCCAACGATATATATATGGGCACTAAGTACATCAACAATGTCTAGTCCATTTGCATCTGACAAATTCAAAGAAAATACTCTGTTGTCTATCCTACTGAGTCAAATTTTATACCTAATTTTCCATTCTAACTTGCATTACCAACCCAAAGTTATCTTTTTATGTCTCTCAACCTACACACTTTACATTTCCTTAGTGATTTTCTTTTCTGAGTCTAGTAAACAAGGAGACTGTAGCTGTCGTGTGTTTAGTCCCTCAGAGACCCAAGAAGAAAACATTAGCCAAGTAAAGCAGGAAGTGCGAGCAAGCAACTTCCAAAAAAATGTGAGAAATGACAGAAACAGCTGGCTGCCTGGACAGTTACCCAAGGTTCCTCTGTAATGTTGGGGCATCCATCTTTGGCCTATAGGCCTAGAATATTTGACAGACTTTTCTATGAAGCATGATTTTTTGAAGGATTGTCCTACCTTGTCTTGGCAAAATTCAGCAGTCCTTTTTTTGTGTCCTGCTTTTCCAATTTAGACAGCATACTGCCAGTAGTCAAGGCAAGGACACTTTCTTGCCCAGTGGCTTACTTTTGCTACAAAGAAAGCAAATGCCCTATGGAGTTTTTGATGACCATCATCTTTTCTGAGGTACATTTGTGCTGCCAGGAGCAGACATGACTCGTGATCATAAAAAAAGAACCTGTGTTATTAAAACTTCTTAAATGCCATATTCTGCAGATCTCTGAAGTGTTTGAAGATGACCTGTCTATCTAAAGTATATGTTTGACCTTGAAAACATACCTAATATGACTACAAGTTCAGTTGTAATAAGTGATTGACTACTACTGACCAATATTTGTTATTGTCCTAAATAGTAATAATAACTTTCAAGGGCTAAAACTTTGCATTACATTGTTAAATGAGTTGCATAGGTACAATACCTTAAACAATATTAGAAATGTATATACAGGGTCATCTTCTTTCCTTCCTGTAACTGTTTCTTCCTCTTGAGACCTGTGACTCAGCCCTAACTTCAAAGCCGCAGCTGTTATACCAGATCGACAGACAATTCAAGATATCAGCCTAAATGAGGAAAATAGAACACATTCTTCTGTCACCCTCTTGATTTTACTTTTATGTACCCTACCGAGATCATTGTTTTCAGTGATAGGGCAGAAGAATTTAAGAAACTGAACTGCCAAGTGATTGGAGCTTCTGTGGATTCTCACTTCTGTCATCTGGCATGGATTAATACACCCAAAAACAAGGAGGATTGGGACCTATGAACATTTCCTTTGGTATCAGATCCCAAGCACACCATTGCTCAGGATTATGGAGTCTTAAAGGCTGATGAAGGTATCTCTTTCAGGGGCCTCTTTATTATTGATGATAAAGGTACCCTTCGACAGATCACTGTAAATGATCTTCCTGTTGGCTGCTCTGTAGATGAGATTCTGAGACTAGTCCAGGCCTTCCAGTTCACTGACAAACATGGCGAAGTGTGCCCAGCTGGCTGGAAACCTGGCAGTGATACCCTTGAGCCTGGTGTCCAAAAGAACAAATACTATTTCTCTAAGCAGAAGTAAATACTGGATCATTTTTCTGCCAGGCTGCGCTGGGCAGCCAGAAGAAAATTTCTTGTACTCTATTCGTGCTTAAACACAAAACTTGGTGTGATCTAAGACATCCCTTTCCTACAGTGCTGGAGGGTTAGCCTTTCTTTCACTGTTGGGAATAGCACAAAGAAACCCTGTCTCGAAAAAACAAAAATAAAATAAAGATTTTAATATAGATTTAAGCATAGGCATTGTGGGATAAAAATAAGCAAATAAATTAAAATAAAATTTAGGGGTATTCTTGTAACCTTGGCTGGCCTATGTCTTTGAGAATATAGCCTTGGACTCTTGATCCTCCTGCCTCTGACTATGAAGTGTTGGGTTATGGACATGTCACATCATTCTTGACTTTGACCTTTTCACTTTCCACTTTTTGCTTTTGTTGTCTTGAGATGTGCTCTCTCTATGCCCCTGGCTGTCCTGAAACTCAGTATGTAGACCAGCCTGTGCTCAAGCCCCTTCAGCATATGTTGCATGCCCAGCTGGATGTTTTCACTCTCGAGGACTCTACTAGAAAGGAGCTCGAATTACTGTGATCTCACTTAATTAGCAGCATTTTCTGAGGCTAGGAAAGCTTTTGGTCACTCTGGACCCACTTTGAATTAATTGGGTTTGCCTTTGCCTGAATGAATCATTCCTCACGAATTCCCTTCCCATAATGGATCTGGGGAATCTTGGAACCTCTCTAAGCATTTGAAGAACTAATTCAAAGATTTCTTTATAGATATATGGAAGTGTGTGGGAGAAACTACACCGGGCATTTGCCATTTGGAGCGGCTTTGGTATGACCCTGACTGGTGTCCACACTTGTGGAGATTACATGTTCAGTGGCCACACAGTTGTTCTAACCATGCTGAATTTTTTTGTCACGGAATGTAAGTATGTCTTCAATGCTTCTGTACATATCAGACAGCTGGTTGCAGAGGAGGAAATGGGGAGGATGTTAAGTCCTAGGAAGAATAAATAGGCAGTTGGGCTGGGGTTGGCAGTTACTTGGTGGAGTGCTGGTCTGTCATGCATGATCCTCAGCACCGCATAAAAACATGTGATGGCACATGCCTGTCGTCCCAGAAGTTCCAGTTCATCCTCAGCTACACAAGCAGTTCAGGGCAGCCTGAACCACATGAGACAGGGCTGGGGGCACATAGCAGATTGGGGAGCAACAGCTTGTAGCCTACCCTGAGAAGCATGTGACCAAGAAGCTTTGGAAGAAATGTGTTTTTAAATGATCCTTCTGTCCTTCTCCTAGATACACCAAGAAGCTGGAATTTCTTGCATACTCTGTCCTGGGTTCTCAACCTCTTTGGAATCTTCTTCATCTTGGCTGCCCACGAACATTATTCCATTGATGTGTTTATTGCCTTTTATATCACAACGAGACTCTTTTTGTACTACCATACTCTGGCCAATACCAGAGCGTATCATCAGAGTAGGAGAGCAAGAATTTGGTTTCCTATGTTTTCTTTCTTTGAATGCAATGTTAATGGCACAGTACCTAATGAATATTGTTGGCCTTTTTCTAAACCGGCAATAATGAAAAGACTAATTGGATGAAGACGTATCTCTGTAATGAGTTTGTTGTTAAATATACAGTAGTTACGGAATGAAAATGAGTAACTTTGCTTTGTCCCAGGTTGTTCCTGGATATGTTGCATTTTTGGCTTATATGTTGACAGATTTCCCGTTCTGAGCAAGTCTGTGACTATAAAACTCAAGAAAGAGCAACCAAGACTCCTCACCTAGCTGTTTAAACAAAGAGCTCCAGGAGGGATTTCCTGCCCCTCCTTCTTTGCAGGAAGACCCAGTGTGTGGGTGATGTGTATGCTGAGTGTTTGCTTACTGAGCTCAAACACATCAGCTTGGGCTGGTTGATGGATTTTTATTGATTTTCAGTAGGACTCAAGTCAAATATTTTTTGAAGCTCTTTCCCCCTAGTGGGTGAACCAGTCTCACTTCTTCCTTGAGCTAATCTGTGTCTGTCTGGAAAGTGATTGTCTTACTGGTAAACATGTTTTGCCCTTTGAACCATTTTTAAGAAAAGCGTATTGAACACAGCAATTGGTGTGAAACAAGAAGAGAATGCAAGGGGCCACGTGTGTGGTGGTGACATGCTGGTCAGGTGTCATTGGCCTTCCCACCGATGCAAATGTGGGGTCAGCATTTTCACCATAGGTGCAGTTCCTGTTTTGTTTTAAAGCTTCAGTGTGAACAATAGGAAGGACTCATGAGGGAAACAGCCGCCTTCGTAATAGTAAAGTGGGGTCATTTTAGTGCTGTAAGTGTCTGGAGTAAATTTGTGTTACAGGGCAGATGACAGCCCAGTATATGCTTTTCTTAATGATGTGACTTAGTGAGACAAGTAAGAGGGTTTTACCAGATGTTGAAGTTCTTATGTCAGTAAATAAGTAAATGTGCATGCAAAGAAGTCTTTCTTCTAGTGAAAAAATTCTGCAGGTTGTAGGCATAGTGTTAGCGCTGTGGGGATTTTTGTTTTATTTTCCTGAAATATCTCAGTTTTGACTGTTGAAAGTAAACAGTCTGAGACATATTTGGACACTAAAAGCTTGTTGCTTTTTATCTTAAAAATAATTGTGTACATACATTCTTTCTATAGTTTTAATTTGGCAGTCAAGAACTAAAACGAATTAGCTCTGTTTGCATTAGAAAATTACCTTCGGTGATTAATTTTACCTCTGATACCATCTGTCACTTTAGCTTTGACCTTAACCTGGTTGTAGAATTGGAAATTGACTTTCAACGTAAACAAGTGGGATACTAATTGTGTGGTTTTTACATTCCATTTCAATACACGGACTTTGAGGAGGTGCTGGCATGCTGAGGTCACAGTTAGACCACAGCAGACATCTGTTTCTTCTCTGTGTGGATGAAATATTCATTATTGCAATTGGAGTCATAGTCCCACCCTCTCTGAAGCTACCTGGGTGAATCAGGCAGGAAAGGGATATTAGGCAGGCAGGTTTCAGCCCGCGCTGCACAACCACGCTCCGGGTCTGCTGGAGAGAGCACTCGTTTATGACTTGAGAAAAGATGTGAGGCGACTCAAGTTTGATTATGTTTTTAAATCTTATACTGCAGAATCTTACAGTGTTTTAAATTGCTGATTCTGTTACAAGCCAGGGTCAAAAATGCCAATATCTCATGTAAAGAGATTACATAATCACGGGGTAAAGGTTTTCCGTGCATGTTTAAGTGGTTTGACTTGTGGTCAGAGGCCATTACTGCCACCCTCTCACCCCCATCCCCTGACATAGCATGTCAAACCCAACTTAGCTAGGGGAGCTAGGGTTGGCTTTCGGAGACTATTCCAGAAACACGTGTCAACATGAATTTTAAAATGTTAACTATATTCATGGTAAATGTCTTAACATCAGGCTTCTCTCCTCATATGGATTATTGTAGAACAAAATACAAAAGTAAATGCAGATAGCTTTGCTGCGCTATTGCAGCCCGCAGTGTCCTTGTGAGTGGCCTCACGGTCACTCCCAATGTTTGAGGAAAGGTAGGCTAGATAGTAAGCTGTTAACTATTATAAGAGCATTTACATGAGGTAATCATCTTCGGGTCTCAGTTAGTTTTCAGTTTTTGTCTTTGCACGTTTTCTCTTGTTGAAATCTTAACTGTAGAGAAAATAGAGTTTATGTTTACATTCTGGGCAGGATGTGGCTGGATGGAGAGGCTCCATGCCTTTGAATCTTGTAGTTGATTCTGCAGTTGTACGAGCATTTCATCGTTAACAACTTAGTACAGAAGGAAGGAAAGGTTTTGAGTTTGGGGATTCCAACTAGGTGTACTGTAAGAAGACCTTGATGGATTGCCTATGTTCTAGAAACAGTGTTGTTGCCCTCCCTGTGGTGCTAAACCTAGGGCTGTGTGTGCCCGGCAAGGGCTCAGCTAGCTATTGATCTACATCCTCAGCTCTGTTTTACGGGGCAAGGCAGGGCATCTTATTGAAAGGGAGCTGGTAGGAAAGGAATGAGGCAGAAACCTTTTTTGTCTGGGTTGTACTTCCCAATAGGCTGTCCTCCAGTCCTGTCTGACCAGACTTGCTATGACAAAAATACTTTTAATCATGCTGGTTCTAAATGTTAATGATCTTCCAAATCGAAAGCAATAGGCTACGTCTTAGAATCAGTCAATTTAACAAACTAGAAAAACCACTGCCAAGAGCTTACCATCGGCACTGTGAGTGACGGCCCTCCTGCCTGCCCGTTAGGGCCGAGAGCTGGCAGAGATGAGAGGAGCAGATCCTCTTACAGCAGAGAGGAAGCAGCCTGTTTTAGGAACGTGTGCAAAACTTGTCTTCCCCACCCCCCTTTTTTTTTTAATTTTTTAAGTTATTTTTTGTTTTTGAGGCAGGGCTTCTCTGTATTGCCTGGGCTGTCCTGGAATTCAGTCTGTAGATTAGGGTAGCCTCAAACTCAGGGATCCACCTGTCTTTACCTCCCGTGCTCGGATTAAGTTCAAATTCATGACAAAAACCTGCATTGATCATATTTAGCAAAAAGCAGTTTTATCACTTAAAGATTCTAGAGCTAAAATCCTTAAGAATGTTTATGGTGTTCTTGACTTAAATTCCCTGATTTAATACACTTAATTATTTGATAGTCTTTTGTAGAAAGAGATCCCATAGTCAAAGCAGTGAAAGCACCTGTCAGCCCGCTAAGGTTCTCAGCCCTTGGAGACAAGAGCACTCCTTAGAATAGTTTATTTGCGGGGCTGGAGAGATGGCTCAGAGGTTAAGAGCATTGCCTGCTCTTCCAAAGGTCCTGAGTTCAATTCCCAGCAACCACATGGTGGCTCACAACCATCGGTAACGGGGTCTGGTGCCCTCTCCTGGCCTGCAGGCATACACACAGACAGAATATTGTATACATAATAAATAATAAATAAATATTAAAAAAAACAAAAACAAACCCTGATTTCATGAGAAGATGCAACCTGTTCAAGTCCTACACTCTGCAAAGCAGCACTCCAGGGCTGTCCCACTAGATCCAGGGCCCTCGGTGCTCCAGGGTTGTCCCATTAGATTCAGGCATCCCTAAGACCCCTGAGCATTGCTTTAAAAAAAAAAAAAAAAGAATAGTTTATTTGCTTTTCTTCATCCAGTGTGAAAGCCGCCAAAGCATGTCAGTTTAATGACAACTTTACACGGTTTAGACAGCTGCTGTTTATTCGGAGCCGAGCTTGGCCTCGGTCATCCCCACCCTGTACCTCTGCGGCTGGGGATTGGTGAATCCCATTAGTGCTCAGAGAGCTTCAGCCAACCGACCGGTGGGAAGATTCTGTTTGTCTCTCCTCACAGAGCTGTAAACGGCTGGAAGTGTTGTAGAAGGGCTTGTTGGGTCACCTGTCAGTTCACATAACTAATGTTGTTATCCAGTCCAGTCAGTACAAATGCCTGTGAACTCTAAGCTATTCCCCAGCTACACTAGGTTGTTCTGAGGATACGTTGTTCTACTGTGTTAATCAAAGGCCTCTAGTGTGTGTCTCCTGTCTCGGCAGAAGGAAGCTTTGTGCTTCGACAGGAGAAGGAATATTATGAAGTTGCTTGTTTTCTTCATTGTTATTTCACATCTCTTTTAATCTGAGCTACTGGATTATCTGAAAAACTAAAAAGCCTGTTGTTATTAACATCTTTAAAATGTTTAATTTTAATAATTTTTCATTGAAGAATTCGTGAATTGTTAGGATAATGAAAGTTTCTGATATGGAACAAAGGAGGTGAACCTAACTCAGTAAAGAAGCAGTTTGTGTGGACTAAGCTGGGCGTGTCTCCCTTTCCACAGAAAAACTAGTGTTACTTGAAGATATGAAAGTTCCTGTGGTAGCCATACCTTGAAGCACAGTGTTGTATATAAGTAAATATCTGATTCTAAATTAAATCCAGATTTAACTAATATATTATTTTATATCTTTGTTGTATTAAAATGTTTTAAAACACTAAAAATAAAACGTTTGAAAGTTGACTTGCAGCTTATTTAGATATCCTGCACTGTTAATATAGTGTGTCTTTGTTGTTTCAGACAGAATCTTGCTATGTAGTGTGCTCTGGTCTGCAGCTTCTGTGCACTTCCTGGCTTTCCTTGCCGTTCGCCTGCATCAGCCCCCTAAGTGCTAGCACTGTCAGGTGCCATGGAATCTTAGTTGTCATCCTCCCCCACCCCTGTGTTTCAGTGCTGCAGCTTGAAAAGAAAAAAAATTTTACGTACACTACGCAGTACACACGTGGAGGTCAGAAGACAACTTGGAGGAGCTGATCACTGTTGGGCCTCGGGTTGTCAGGTTTGGTGGCCTGTGCGTTTACCTACTGAGTCTTCTCACTGGCCGAATAGCAACTTTAAAACTGTAGGATGTCGTGTGTGGCATTTAGTTATCTCAGGGAATCATTTGCCTGTTATAAAATAAGGAGTCGAGAGTTGGGGACATTGCTTACTGGTAGAAGTTAGGTGGGCAAAATAGGGTCTTTGTTCCAGCTGGAAGACGGCAGAAAAGCAGCACGCATCTTGTTTGTTTTGTTTTGTTTTGTTTTGTTTTTGAGACAGGGTTTCTCTGTAGCTTTGGAGCCTGTCCTGGAACTAGACCTGGCTGGCCTCGAACTCCCAGAGATCCGCCTGCCTCTGCCTCCCAAGCACTGGGATTAAAGGCATACACCACCACCGCCTGGCTGCATCTTGTTTTTAAAAGCGAAAAGGAACTCTGCAGAGAAGAAAGGACTCCAAGGGAAGAGTACCTGTTTATTAGTGTGTGTGTTCATTTCCTGTTGCCTTATGCTGTGTGGAGTCTGGTGGATGACTCGTGGGATTGGTTCTCTCCTACTTTTCCTCTGACAAGGGTTACAGGGGTAAAACTCAGGCCCTCCCTCAGGCTTTTGTGACTAGTGCTTTTACCCACTGAGCCATACTGAGACTTCTCAGTAAAAAGGACTTGACAGAGGGGAAGAAAATGTTTGGGAATCACTGAGGCAGCAGCAAGCTGTCCCTATCTACTGGTAGTTTGGAAGTGAGTATGCGCTCACTTAGGAAGTTCAGGTTCAGTGAGTATGCAGAACTTAAATCCTTGAAGGACGAGTCAAAGACTTCAGCAAAGGTTTAGAGCAAGGGTTCTAAACCTGTGTACCAAGACACCTTTGGGAGTCGAACAACCCTTTCACAGGGGTCACATATCAGATACCCTGCATATCAGACATTTGTTTTACAATTTATAACAGTAGCAAAATTACAGTTATGAAGTAGCAACGAAAGTAATTTTATGGTGGGGGGTCACCACAACATGAGAAACTGTGTTAAAGGGTTACAGCATTAGGAAGGTTGAGAACTACTGTTATTGGGGGTGAAAGACAAAAGAATCAAGGCAAACAAGGTGAGTGGGTGAGTAAAGGCACTTGCCACCAAGCCTGGTGACCTGAGTTCTGCCTGGAGGATCCACAAGGTAAGAGGAGAGAGTCAAGAACTGCAGGTTGTCCTCTGCCCTCCACAAGAGTACCTTGGCATTAATGCTCCTTCCCTGACACACACAATGTAATCTTTAAAGAGTTGCTCAAAGTCAGGTTTACTTGTCTATGTCAGGGAACTGTTAGAGTTTGTGTCTGATTACAATGGAGGCACCAGGAGGACCCACTGCTGATAGCAAAACTGTAGGCACAGCTCTAAGGAGTTCTGTAAACAGCCTTGGATAAGGACAGGGGTGTAAGTCAAGAGGAGAGAGGTAAAAGCCCCAAGTTTAACCCCTAGCACCCACAAAAGAGAAATAAGATGGTAGAAGTACACAGGAGATCCAATAGGAGAGGAAGGCTCTAGACGCCCCACTATTTGGTAGTTCAAGGAACTGGGACTGCACAGCTTATAGGAAGTCTTTGACCTGGTAAGGAGGGTCAAGGCACTAAACAAGTAGCTACCAATTGCTACAACCTATGATTTCCTGGATCCAAGTCATTCGCGGGAGTGCCAGACTCCCAAGCATGAAGGGGAATGGTAGCTGGCCCTTGAGGAGATACTAGGAAAAAAGTAAGTGACTAGGAAGAAACCCAGTTAGGTCCCCCAGCTGTAACTTTGGACAGGACCCAGTGACAGTGCTGAGACCTCAGCTACAGTAGCATGATATTTACACGCTGTGTTTCCAGCTCGGGGTGCTCCTTGTCTAATCCAGAATAAAGAACGCTTTGATCTGCTTGTATTCTAGCCTTAGGAGCCCTGGACCACACTGTGCAAACAATATCTAAACTAATGGTTGGGAGATGCAGATTGAGCAGGTTTCATTAAGGAGAGGGCAAAGTGCATGAACTTTGAACCTGTTCTTGATGGAGCTTGACTGGCAGAGACCCAACTAGAGAGTGTTTCCATAGCAGTGATGCATTGGGAAGCATTTTAACACAAATGTCTGGTTTAGAAATCTGATAAGCACAGCTGTCCAGGCAAGAGTTCTTTACTGCCACTTCCACAGTGGTGCCTGCGATTCTTACTATCTTGTTTGGAGGTTGTTCATTTTAAATAAATCACAACATGAAAGTCAGCTGTGCCCAGTGCTTATTGCAGCTGCTTGACTGGGCACAATGTGCCCAGTGGCCTTACATTACTGCCTGGCCCTCCCTCTCATGGGCAGTGTCCACTGGACCTGTAACCGTAACTGAGCCCTTCCTGCAGGAACTTGGATGGGCATTTTGTTGTAACAAGACCAGCAGTTAACACAGATGCTTTTAGGAAGGGCTTTAAGTATACATGGATTTATTCCAAATTAGATGCCTTCAGGATGTGCAGATGTTTCTGATTATAATTTTTCAATTTTTTTGAGATGGTATTTCTCTGTGTAACAGCCCTGCCTGTCCTGAAATTCACTCTGTAGGCCAGGCTTACTTTGAACTTGGAGGTCTGCTTACCTTGTCTCCCAAGGCTCTATCTTAGAAATCTTAGAGGAATGAGTTGAGATCAAAACTGTAATTAATATTCAATTAGTGTTAGTATTAAAAACAAATTTTAACCGGGCGGTGGTGGCACATGCCTTTAATCCCAGCACTCGGGGGGCAGAGACAGGCAGATCTCTGTGAGTTCAGCCTAGTCTGCAATAGCTAGTTCCAGGACAGGCTCCAGAGCTACAGAGAAACCCTGTCTCAAAAAAAAAAAAAAAAAAAAAAAAAAAACCAACAAATTTTAAAACCAGCAGGAACTCAGGTAGAGAGTGGTGTATTCCTTTGCATATGTACAGTTTATCTCTATCCTCAGCTGCTAAAGGGAAGTTCTTGAGTCAGTGGCTTTCAGTGTTTTGGTTTTGTTTTTTTTTGTGTGTGTCAGTGTCACAGCGAAATGTTGGCCGTCCTGGAACAGCGAAGACCAGACTGGCCTTGAACTCACGAAAATTTGTTTTTTATTTACAAATTGCTGGGATTAAGAAGTATGGCTACCAGGCCCAACTTTGTTTTGCAAATTTTATATTTCAAGCCATCTTTAAAAGAGGTACTTTCTAGCTTACTGGATCAAACCTGTAATCCCAGTTTTTAGGAAGTGGAGACAGTGATCAGGATCTCGTCCAGAAGTCCTTGGCTACATATGGAGTTCCGTGCCAGCCTGGACTACATAAATCCTGTCTCAAAAAAAAAAAATTGAAGTATAGGAGCTGGATAGATGACTCAGGTTAAGAGCGCTGACTGTTCTTCCAGAGGTCCTGAGTTCAATTCCCAGCAACCACATGGTGGCTCACAGCCATCTGTAATGAGGCCTGATGCATGCCCTCTTCTGGCATGCAGGCAGAACATTATATACATAATAAATAAATCTTTTAAAAAATTATGTAACTTAGAATAAAGCAAGATAGGTTATAACAATCTATTCTTTCCCTGGGCAGTGGTGGTGCGTGCCTATAATCCCAGCACTCGATGCAGACAGAGAACTCACATCTCTGTGAGTTCCAGGACAACCAGAGCTGTGACACAAACCTTGTCTTGAGCAAACAACCAACCCAAAACCAAGCAAAACAAAGAACCCAGCCTATTTTTTTTTTTTTTTTTTTTTTTTACTAACAATGCATGAGCTTGTCTGTTAATCCACACTATTGCTGATGTAATGTCAGCAAACCGCACAGGGTGTTTTTCCACTTTGAAGTTTGTTTTCCTTTGTTTTGAAGAACTAAAGAGATATTATGTGTCCTGGGATACATACACTTAAGCAGTAAATCATACTCCTAGCCCAAGAAAGAATGGATTCAATACCCAGCACCAGTTCACAACTCCCTGTAACCCCAGTTCCAGGGGATCTGATGCCTCTGGTTCCTGTGGGCACCAGGCATATGCATGACGCACAGACCTGCATACAGGGAAAACACCCATAAACATTGAGAGAAGAAGAAGAGAAAGCCTCTAACTGCCTGCATGGGCTGGCTCTCTAATTCAGGACAGCCCAGAACTATTCCTCTGTCTGGAAAGGCCTATAATTTCTTCGAAGAACCACCTCAGATTTCTTCCTCGGTAGAATAGCATTAAGATGTAAATGAGGAAAAGAAAGACTATTTAATCGAACATGGAATGTTTCTCCCACTTAGAGCATAATCTTTTTTGTGGGGTGGAGGGATTTCTGAGACTCGATTTCTCTGTGTAACCACTCTGGAACTCAGGTTGTAGACCTGGTTTGTCTCAAGCTCACAGTGCTGGGATTAAAGAAGTGTGCCAACATCGACCAGTAATTTTTAGCATAATCTTTAACTTAGCCACCCGTTGTCATTGAAAATGTTATTTCCAGGGGCTGGAGAGATGGCTCAGTGGTTAAGAGCACTGACTGTTCTTCCAGAGGTCCTGAGTTCAATTCCCAGGAACCACATGGTGGATCACAACCATCTGTAATGAGATCTGGTGCCCTCTTCTGGCCTGCAGGCATATATGCAGGCATAACACTGAAAATACAATAAATAAATATTTTTTAAAAAATGGTTTTTTTTCTGGGCTGAAGAGATGGCTCAGTCACTAAGAGCACTTAATGTCATT